TCCTCCTCCTTGTCCTCCTCCTCCTCCTCAGCCTCCTCCTCCTCTTCCTCCTCCCCTCGTCCTCCTGATCATCCTTATTGTCATCCCCATGCTCTTCCTGATCCCCATCCTCATCCTCATGCTCATCCTCATCATCATCATCATCATCATCATTCATCATCATTCATTCCCCATCATCATTCATCATCATCATTCATTTCATTCATCATCATCATCATCATCATTCATCATCATCATCCTCGTCGTTTCTCTCACTCGGAGGAGAAGAAAGTAGGGGAAGAAGCGGGAGAAGCTGCCCTACGCGAAGGCTAACGACGCGCAGTGGCTGCCGCAGGTGTTGGGCGGAGGCCCTGGGCAAGAGAGGGTGCACTGGCACTCCAGCCGCACGCTGCACACAAGCCGCACTTCGGCGCACGTCGACCTCGAGCAGTGGAACGCCACGGCGGCGGCGGACGAGGAGGCCCCCAGCGACACAATAGGCGGTCAGGAACGTTTGCTTAGCGTGTCGCTCCGCCGGTTTGGGCCAACTACGCTTCGGCGCGAGACGTTGACCACACTGTGGTCCCCAGTCGTCAACGTCCGAAGCCCACGGAGCTCAGCGTTACGCTATCCGCGGGCAGGGCACGGCGTGTGGCTGGGGCCGCCGCCGCGACACGCTGAGCAGAAGCTCCTGACCTTTACGGGCGCTCGCTCATGGGTGTTTGTGAACCCCGCAGGAAGTTGTTCCCCAATCAGTGCTTACGCTGAAGGGGTCCTAGCGGAAATTGATAGATGTGGCGAAAGTTTCCCGCCGATTTTCGTGGCGGGCTGGGTTCCCAGCTCTGGGTTCCCGGGTTCCTGCAGGTTCTTGGTTCTGGGCCGATTTCGGTGGGTTCTGGCCGGGCTCCCGGGTTCTCGGTAGACCTCTTCATCGATGCAACCATCCATTGATTGGGTTTTTTTCTCTTGGTGTGATTACTGTTTAGGGCCCCCTTCGGGCATCGCAACCTTGCCTGCATCGGGGAGGTTCGGGCTCGCCAGGTCGCGGGGGCCAGACACACCCGGCAGCGGAGCTTCCCGCCAGGGGGGCGCCGAGGCCCCGGCGCTGCCCAGGAGATCGCCCCGAAAGGGCTCCTCCATCACCTCCTCCTCCTCCTCCTCCTCCTCGTCCGCCTCCTCCTCCTTCTCCTCCCCTCCTCTCCTCCTCCATCCTCCTCCTCCTCCTACTCCTCCTCATCCTCCTCCTCCTCCTCCTCCTCCTCCTCCTCCTCCTCCTCCTCCTCCTCCCTCCGCGTCCTTCCTGCCTCCCCCCTCGGGGCTCCCCTCGGCGTGCAGGAGCGCCTCGCGCCGTGGAGGGAACACGACGGGAGGTTCCCGGCAACGTCCAGCCCCACAGGGTGCCCTCGCGGGGGCCCCGGGCCGTCGGAAGCGACGCGGGGTGGAGGAGCGGTCCCCGGCAAGCGGTCCAGACCTCCTCGGGTCCACGGTGCGGAAGACTCGCGGCGTCGGAGGTCCGGGCCATCTCGTCTCGGCACCCCTCGCCTCTCTGCCTCCGTCGGCTCCCGGCCTCCCTCGCAGCGCGGCCCAAGTGCGACACACTGGGCAGCGGAGGATATTCATTCATTCACTCATGCAATCATTCATTCAATCAATCAATCAATCAATCAGTCATTCAGTCATTCAGTCAAACATCCAGTCAGTCATTCATGCATTCCGTCAGTCATTCATTCATTCATTCGTTCGTTCATTCATTCCTCCTCGCCCTCCTCCTCCTCCTCCTTCTCCTCCTCCTCCTCCTCCTCCTCCTCCTCCTCCTCCTCCTCCTCCTCCTCCTCCTCCTCCTCCTCCTCCTCCCCCTTGCCATTCCTTGCCACCTCCTCCTCCTCCTCCTCCTCCTCCTCCGCCTCCTCCTCCTCCTCCTGCCTCCTCCTCCTCCTTTGCCCCCCCCCCCCCCTCCCCCTCGGGAGGCCCAGAGAGGACCCAGGGCGCCCGGAGAAGTCCCTGCCCTCCCCGACCCCCCCCCTTCGCATGCCAGGAGGTGCACCGTCCTCCCCGGCGACGCCCTGTTCCTGCCGGCCTACTGGCACCAGCAGCGGCGCTCCTTCGGGGGCCCAGACGCCGGGGCCCGGTGCGGATGCTGGGCGCTGCGTGAGCTCGACTGGACGCAAGAGTGACTTTCTCGCTGGAGTGACCTTTGGTGCGGGCAAGATGCCTAGATGGGCGGCGGCATTGCGAGATGATCTTAGATGATAGCGGGAGATGGATCATAGTTCTAACTCTTCCGCATCATCTCGCATCACCTTACAACATCTCGCATCACCTTACAACATATATCATCATATATCATCATAGATCATATGCGCCGATCGCCGAACGCGATGCGATGATAGTGTCTTGCGCGCTCGTGTTCGCTCCCCCCGCGGCCCCCCCAAAGCCGCGCACCAAAGGTCACTCTTACCCAGGGTCACTCTTGCGTGTAGTCGAAAGTTTCGGCCTCCTATAGATGGGGTCGGAGCAGCCGGGGTCGGAGGATCGCGCCGCATCGCCGAGGCATCGACGATGCGGCTCGGTGCGGAGCCCCGTTTTCTCCGCGACGACGTCGCCGATGCGTCGCCGACGTCGGCGATGCATCGACGATGCATTGCCGATGCACTGGCGATGCGGCGCGATCCCCCGACCTCATCTACCCGGACCCCATCTCGGAGGCCTCTAGTAGGGGAGGGGGCGATCAATAGGGGGGGGGCGAGGAAAGGCGCACCTCTTGTGCCCTAAGTAGGAGTCCTGATGGGGCCCCCAAAAGTGGCGCGAAAGGTGCACGATTCCACTTCCCCGCCCCCCACGCATCGCCCCCCCTCCCATTCAGCAACGCCCGAGGATGTGTGGACGCCGCCGTGGACTTCTGGTACCGGCCCATACGCCGAGGGCGCTGGTTTGAGGATCGCCTCATCGGGTCACCTGGAGTCAGGAGAGGAAAAAACACAGACACAATTAATCGTCGACTCCCAGGAAAATATAGGAAAATATGGGAAGTGGGGGGGAAGACAGAAACCCAGAAAATATGGGGAAATATGGGGATCCTGTTGTTTGTGTGTATTTATTTGTGTGTCCCAGGGCCCCTTCACTGGGGACCTAGTAGATCGCCCAGCATCGAAAAATGACGCAGCAAGACGGGGCCCATACCTCCAGGCGTGATTTTTCGCGATGTTCTTTCGCAGCGTCGGATCTCAGGGCATCCCTCCGAGGTCATGGCGCACATTCCAGGAGAGGCCTCGTCTCCGGCGCGCCTTGCATTCGGTGGAAGGCCGGCGGAAGTGAAGCGGTGGCGGGTCCGCTGGAGCGGAAGCCAGCGACGGGTCGGCGGGAGGCGGCAACAGTAAAAGTGAGAGGTCCACAGTTTGGGGTCCAGGGCCTCCGGAGTAGGGCCCATGATGTTTGCAACGCCGGCGGTGGTCCTTCCACTGCGGCCACCCGAGGCCCGCTTCTGGGTCCCACGGGTCCGTCGAAAAAAAGAGTACGAGTCGAGAAGCTGGCCCCGAGGAAGGGGCCGAGAGGTTCGAGGGCCACATGCATTGAAAAGGTCACAACGTCGGCGGTCCGGCGGAATGGCGAGCCCCCGGCTGTCCCTGATGGCTGTGGGGGCATCCGCGCTCTGGGCGGGCCCGTGCGGGTTCCAGGGGCGGCGGCGGAGCCACGGGCGGGTCAGGCGCAAGGGCGCGAACAGGACCCTGGACAAGGAAGCTGCTCTGTTTCGGGGGTCAGCTGCGAGGGCAGGATGCGACCGCGCCTCGCGGAGCGCGAAGCTTGGCATCGCTCGGACGTGTGCATGTTTCCTTCGGTGAGGATCATCGAGGAGCATCCTTGATCACTTGGCGAAAAAAGCACGCACGAAACCGAAAAAAACACGGGGAATGGACGTCCGAGCGATGGCCAGGAAGCTCGTCGCTGGGGGATCTTGAAGCCCTTTAATCGGAGGTGGATAGACCTCCTACCCTGACACGTCGATTAAGGAATTGGCCGTTTTCGGTTCGCGAGCGGGCGTCGCGGCCGTCATTTTTGCGGGTCCAGGTCCGTCGGTTTCGGTCCCAGGCCGTTTTCACTAAGGGGAGGTTTACTAAAGGGACAAGCGTAAAGAGCGAGTATGTTTCCCAACTCAGGGACTTCTTTTGGCACTGCAGGACTCCAGCAACCCTGCACGTAGCCTCGACGCTTGAGGCCGTTTTCACTACAGTGAAAACGTATAGTAAGGACGCGTGGTAAGGACGCAAGACCCTTGGAGGCTGAAGTTGGGATTTTTTTGGGCGGCGGCGACCAGTGAAAACGGCAAAGGACGGGCCACAGAGGCTAGGACGCAAGGGTATCCTAGATGAAGGCGCGCGTCCTTACTAGGCGCGTTGACTGCAAGGGGAGGTTTACTAAAGGGAGTTATGTCCACCGCCGATATTATCAGTATCAGTACACGTGTGCAGTCTCGGCCCGGCGGCGCGACTCCGGGTCCCCCGCCTGAGGATCCCCAGGTGCAGCGCCCCTCGGCTCCTCCAGGGGCGGGCAGGGCGCCCTCGGGCCGAGGGTGGGGCGGGCGACGGCGGGGCGATCGGTCCTCCTCCTCCGCCTCCTCCTCCTCCTCCTCCTCCTCCTCCTCCTCCTCCTCCTCCCCCCATCCTCACCTCCTCCTCCTCCTCCTCCTCCTCCCCTCCTCTCCTCCTCCTTCTCTCCACTCCTCCTCCTCCTCCCCTCCTCCCCCCCCCACTCCTCCTCCTCCTCCTCCTCCTCCTCCTCCTCCTCCTCCTCCTCCTCCTCCTCCTCCTCCTCCTCCTCCTCCTCATCCTCCTCCTCCTGCCACCTCCCCCCCAGAGCGCAGCGGAGGGCGCCCAGAGAGGGCGCAGACCGTCAAAGAGAGGCCAGCCCCGGGCGCCCACGCCCTTCCGAGGCCCCCCCCCCCGCACCCTCTCGGCCGGGGCCGCCCAGGGCCCCCCCGCGATACACACGGAGCCGGAGGCCGCCGAGGCGGCGGCGGCGACGCTGGCGCGGTCGGCGGAGCTCTGACAGCCCGCGGCGAGGCGGGCGCACGCCGCCCCGCGCGGCAGCAGAGAGGCCTCCCGCGGCTGCGCGGCGGGCTCCGCCCGTCGTCGTCGTCGTCGTCGTCGTCGTCGTCGTCGTCGTCGTCGTCGTCGTCGTCGTCGTCGTCGCCGTCGTCGTCGTCGTCGTCGTCGTCGTCGTCGTCGTCGTCGTCGCCGTCGCCGTCGCCGTCGCCGTCGCCGTCGCCGTCGCCGTCGCCGTCGCCGTCGCCGTCGCCGTCGCCGTCGCCGTCGCCGCCGCCGCCGCCGCCGCCGCCGCCGCCGTGGCCGCTCCCGCGCGGCGGCGGCGGCGCGGGCAGGGGGGGGGGGCGCGAAGAGGGCAGGCGGCCTCCCCAGGGCGGGGCAGGGGGGGGCAAGGGGCCTCGTGGAAGGCAGGGGGCCGTCCTGGTGGGAGCCCTTGGGGGCTTCTGGGCACTCTCGTGGCTGTGATGCCCTCGTCCTGGCAGATACCTCCAGGCGCCTCGGGAGAGCGCTCTGGCAGGTGCTTCTCGGGCTGCCGAAGGAAGCGTCTTGGCAGGTGCCTTCGGGCGCATCAGGGAGGAGTCCTGGCAGATACCTCTGGGCCCCTCAGGGAGGGCGTCTTGGAAGCCTGGGGGGCCTCTGATATCTAGGTCTCCCAGATGGGGTCGGAGTAGACGGGGTCGGCAGATCGCGCCGCATCGCCGATGCATCGGCGATGTGGATCGGTGTGGCACCTGACTTTCTCCACGCCAGCGTCGCCGATGCATCGGTGATGCATCGCCGATGCATCGCGCGACCTTCCGACCCAATCTACGCGGACCACGTTTGGAAGGCCTCCGTGAGAGGCCCATGCCTTCTGAGAGGCCCGTGCCGTCCTCTCATTGTAGAAGGCCCGCGGTTGCCCTGTCGCGCGCGCCGCCGCACAAGGGGCGGCGGTTTCCTTCGGTCGGGCTCCGCGCAGGGCAGCGGTCGCTGCCAGGGCAACGCTGGGGCCACGGAGGGCGCAGAGTGGATGGCCGCATCTCGGATAATTCTGCGCGTGAGTCGCTCGACAACTCGTCGCGTTGGGGTCTCCTCCCCTTCCCACGTGCATCGCGGCCCAACTTGCATCTAGTGCGCCCCCCTGATGCCCGATCGCCGGAGCAGTCACCCTCTGCCCAGCCGCCGACGCAAAAAGAGTGTGTCGCTCGACATCCTTGGTATGTGGTGCGGATCCTCCTCGTACTAGCCTGTGACATGTAAGAGGTCGCCCTGAGGCGGCTATGAGATGTCGGCGAGGTGCGTATGCATGAGGTAGTACTTGAGATAGCCATGAAGACAATGATGAGGTGGCCTCGGTGTGGGGCAGCGTTGACCTGCCCATGCGGTCAGCGTGTGTGCAAGTGCTGAAAGGGGTAACATGGAGGAGGCTGCGAGGTGTCTATGCGGCACCCGTTGGACAGCCAAGCAGTGGTCAGAACACGCGGTCACGGTCGCAAGATCCAATCTTTGCAAAGACCAGACACCGCGGGCCGCCACCAGCCACCGTCGTGGACCCCTGATTAGAACCACACCTCTGCTCGCAGCGGCGCGGGTGAGGAGGAGGAGGATGATGATGAAGAGGAGGAGGAAGTGAAGGCGGGCGGGAGGAGGAAAGGGCGAAAGAAGAGAAGGTGGCGAGAAGGAGGATGAAGAGGAGGAGGGTGCCAAGGAACCATCTCAGCTTCAATTGTTTGATGACCGTCGTGGTGTTGACCCACTCTGTCAAGTTTGCCATGCAGCAGTGGGATCTCAGAAGCATCGTGTCACAGGTTGTGGTTTGATTGCGCTTGTGCGAAAAGACTATCCAGGCGTTGTCGTGCTGTTGGCCAGGGGGGTGGCTCCCAGCCCGACCGTTTGGCCTGTTCCGTACACCGTGGCTGGCCGCAAGTGGGAAGTGGTTCCCCCAGGAGGCGTCGTAGGGACCAGGGTTTGTATTGATGGGTCAGGCTTAGACCCAGAGCTCCCGCAGTTCTCCGGGGTGGGGGGGGCTGTGGTATGTGTTCATGAGGACAGGTTCGGAGGATGGATCCACGGACTGGCATTCGGACCAGTTCCACATGCGGTTCAGATTGCTGGGTGTGGCCAGGTGTGCTACGGTCTTCATGTGTCTCCGTCTTGCAGACGCTGAGGCCATGGAAGCGGTCACCGATTGCTCCATGGTAAACTGACGTGTGGAAGAAGGGGCCTCAACCGGACCTTGAGAAAGTAGCCTTCTCGGAGCTCTGGGAGGAGATGTTCAGGTTAGCGGTTGACGTGGGGATCGACAGTGTATCTTTGAGTAAGATTGCGTCTCGCTTGTCCCTCCACCAGTCCCGTGCTCGCAGGATTGAGGAATGGAAGTGGAGGGGGGAACGAGAAGGCTGACGAGCTGGCCAAGAAGGGACTCGAGCACAACCCCACAGTCCATACATGAAGCAGTGATGCAATGAATGTGTGCCGCGAGTGCGGCAGGTAGCATGGCTCATAGCCGAGGCAGTGAACGGTTTGAGTTCTCGGTCCTTTCCTGACGTAGCTCGGTTCTGTCGGCCCAGACGGGCCAAGCCGCGTCCCCCCGAGCGCGTTCCTGATCCCGGGGGGTATGCTGGTGAGAAGGTTTAGAATCCTCGGTCTTGTCTCTGCACTGCGGCGAGAAAGGAAAGTCTCGCGCAGCGGTTTGTGCTTTCCCCTGTGGTGGGCCGCTCAAGATTGCCAGGACCAGTCACAGGACGCATCGGGTCTGGTTGATGTGGGGTCGTGTGGCGCGGTGCTCGTGCTGCGGTGCCTTCGCGAGTTCTCGATCCCATGACCTGCGTTGCCCGTGCCTTGGGGGTCTTGCCAATCGCCACGCCATGGGGAGTTTTACCAAGCTCAAGAGCGGTACCGTCCCCAGTTCAAAATCTCATGTTAGTCGGTCGGGCCTCGGTTTGGATTGCCGAAGGGTGGGTATCTAAGGACCAGCCTCGGTAGTATCCCATTCCATCCGCACTGTTTTTGCGGCCCCAGTGCTTCTGCGGTGACAGTGTTTCCGAGACCAACGGGAGGCCGACGGAGGGGGCCAAGGAGCCCAGAGATCCGATGTCGTTTTTCGAAACGCCCCCCCCCTGGAAGTCTCGACCGATTCCTTGGGACCAGTTTTACATCCCGAGTCTTGGTTTGACGGTCCACGCGCCCAACGAAGGTCTTTAGAGGCCGAGAACAGCCAAACAAACACCATCCTGATGTTCTCAATGCGCTGGGTCTCTGGGAAGAAGAGCGGAGGAGGAAGAGGATGAGAGGAGGAGGAGGAGGAGGAGGAGAAGGAGGAGGGTGGGAGGGGGAGGGGGAGGAGGAGGAGGAGGAGGAGGAGGAGGAGGAGGAGGAGGAGGAGGAGGAGGAGGAGGAGAGGAGGAGGAGGACGAGGAGGAGGAGGAGGAGGAGGAGGAGGAGGAGGAGGGGGGGGCTGCAGGAGGGGGAGGGCGGCGGAGGACGCAGGAGTGCTCGCGCCGAGGGCTGCCCGCCGCGCCTGCCGAGAGGCGGCCTCGGCTGCCGCGCACGGCGGTGGCGGCAGCCACCCGCCTCTCCTTGGCCCCTGCGCGGGCCCGCCGCCTCTCGCTGCGGCCAGGGCGAGCGCGGGGGGAGGTGAGAATCTAGGCTTAAGTCGGGCCTGAGAATCTAGGCTTAAGTCGGGCCTGTCCCTCTAAAGGGGGAAAATTCAAAAATAGTCAAAAGAATAAGCTGACGACGATTTGTTTGATTATGTATACCTATTTGGTGGCATGTCTTGACGATGTGTAATTTTTCACCCGAATTTAGTCTGTAGGGGGACATGCCCGACCTAAATCTAGGCCTCCTAGATGGGGTCTGAGTAGATGGGGTCGGAGGATCGCGCCGCATCGCCGACGCATCGCCGATGCATCGGCGATGCGGCTCGATGCGGAGCCCGATTTTCTCCACGCCCACGTCGCCGATGCATCGCCAGCGTCACCAGTGCATCGCCGATGCATCGGCGATCCATGGGCGATGCATTGGCGACGCGGCGCGATCCTTCGACCCCATCGACTCGGACCCCACAGAGGAGGCCCCTAGAGAAGGAGAAGGCCTTCTCAGAAGGCGGCGGGACTTCTCAGAAGCCCTCGCGCCCTCCGAGAAGCCTTTTGAGAATCAGGAGACCCTCGCCCGAGCGGGCCCGAGCGCATCCGGGGAGGTCCCGATGGCACCCACAGCGCCCCCCACGAGGCCCCGGTGGCATTCGCAGGGTCTCCAGGCTGGCGCGGGAAGTTCGGCTTGGGCCTGGCCCCTGCGTAGCCCCGCCGGCCATGGGATGCTGGCGGTGGCATCGGCGGCGGCGGCATCGGCGGCGGCGGCGGCGGCGGCGGCGGCGGCGGCGGCGGCGGCGGCGACGACGACGACGACGACGACGACGACGACGACGACGACGACGACGACGACGGCGGCGACGACGGCGGACCGCGAGAGGCGGAGAAGAGGGAGCTGGAGGACCAGCTCAGCGACCTCGCGGCGGGCGGGGGCACGTGGCCCTCCCTCGCTCCCTGTCGCGCGCGCGGGCACCCCCCGGAGGCCGCCAGGAGGAGGGCGAGGGTGAGGGAAGGAAGGAGGACGGGGAAGGAGGAACGGGGAGGAGGAAGGGGGAGGAGGAAGGGGGAGGACGAGGACGAGCACGAGGACGACGAGGGGGGGAGGGAAGGAGGGGCGGAGGGGGAGGAGGAGGGAGCAGAGAAGGAGGAGGGGTCCTCCTCCTCCTTTTCCTCCTCCTCCTGCTCCTCCTGCTCCTCCTCCACCTCCTCCTCCTCCTCCTCCTCCTCCTCCTCCTCATCCTCCGTCGCGCTGGCCCTTTGGAATTGCGGCGAGATGGCAGTGTTGCGGGCACGCCGAGTGTCTGAAGGCCGTCCAGCACGATGGCACGGTCAGGAGTTTTTTGGGTTGGCGTGTCGTTGCGCCGCCTGTGGCCCGCCATGCTGCGGCGCGACACGCTATCCACTCCTCTCTGCTCTCCTCGTCCTCCTCCTCCTCCTCCTCCTCCTCCTCCTTTCCTCCTCCTCCTCCTCCTCTTCCTCATCCTCTTCCTCCTCCTCCTCATGCTCCTCCTTTTCTTCCTCTTCGTCCTCCTTCTCCTCCTCGTCCGTCTCCTCATCCTCCTCCTCCTCCTCCTCCTCATCCTCATCCTCCTCCTCCTCCGTTCCGCTCTGGGAAACTTCAGGGCATCAATTCCGCCGTGCGGTTCGGGATATGCTACCCGAGTGGGCGGGAGCGGAATTCGCACTGCAGGCCACGTATTTGGGATTCAAGATCGGCCCTGCCCGGTGTGCGGCCGAATGGGCCCACGCAGTGTCCAAGTATTCCAACCGTGTTCGTCTGTGGTCAAGGCTCGGGCTCGGGCTGCAATTGAATGCCAGAGTTTATAACATTTTTGCTGCACCGGTATTGCCACATCTTTGGCAACTTTGCGATCTGTCCCCAGAGGCCACTGCACTCACGCAGCTCTCTTCAGGACCGGGCGGGTGGCGTACAGCAGCCGATTTGTTTAATCTGCAATCGCTGATTTCGTTTCCCGTCGGCTTCCGCTGCCTCTCGGACTGCGCATGGGCCGCCAAGCTCCGAGTGGCAAATACTGTCATTCAAGATCACAGTGAAATATCGACGCAGCTTGCCTGGGCGCGCTTGGGCACGCAGTTCCCCGCGCGCGCGGCTGCATGGTCAGAGTGGTATGCTTCACACTTCCCATCAGTGCTAGGTTCGGCCACCCGCCGCGCGAGTTCGAACGGTCTTCGGGCTTCCGACAGTCAGCGCGCTCTCTATGATTCAATTCGGGCTTTGCAGGCTAGCCCTGCATGCATCGAAGCCCGTTTCCGCCACAAGCTGTCCAGATGGCCCATTTCAGTTCCAATCGGCCGCCTCGCTCGCCCGAGCGCCGGGTATTTTCGAGAGGCTGAGCCGGTTGGCACCGCCACGTGTGGTGGCCGCAGTCTGGAGGACGCAGTGGAACGGGTGGTGCACGGCACGCCGATTCCAAAATGTGGGACACTGTACTCTGGGGTGCTCATGTTCAGCGCGAGATTGCATTGAGCATTACGCTATGTGCCCATTGGTCGCCAAGCCTCCAAGCTCAGGTGCAGATTTCTCGGGCTCCGGGACGTGAGCTTGGAGAGTTTCCTGTGCCTTGGCAGTGCCGGGGATAAGGAGCTCAGCCTGGCAGCGCTCGCCACGTATGCCGTGTTCCGGGCGACGAACCACTTCCGTGGTCGCGCGGCGCCTGATGCCCAAAAGGTTTCCGATGCACTGGAACACTGGTGCAAAATTGGGGCGCACGGCCACACTAACCTTACCCGGGCTTTCGACAGGAGGTGGCATCGCCATGGTGATACGCGGTGACTTGTTTCACTCTCCTGATGTCTGCTATCGCCCTGTCTTTTTCTCCCCTGCCTCTCCCTCCCTCCTCCCCTTCCCTCCCTCTTCCTTCTCCTCTCCCTTGTCGTCGTGCTGGTCGTTTGTCGTGTCTCTCCCTTCCTCTCCTTGTCCACTTGCTCCTGGCCCAGCGCGAGACGTGGATCGTCTTGCTCGGGCCGCGCGCGTTGGTGCGTGCGTGGGGCTCGCGCCCTTCTCGCCCCTTCCGGCCCTTTCTCCCTCCTCCGTCGTCCGCTGCTGCTGCTCCCTTCCTTTCCTGTCCCTCCTTTCTCTTTCCTCCTCCTCCTCCTCCTCTTCCCTCCTCTTCCTCACCGGTGGAGCCGTTATGTGGTTCCAGTGAAGCCCATCTTTGATCCCAGCCCCATATCGCGTTCGGAGGCCATCCCTGTTTGGTGAGAGCCCATCCCGTGCGCGGCAGCAGGACAGTGATACGTTTTGTCCCTATTTCGTATCATCGGGAATCTGTGTTGTCACGGTTTCCGCCCTCGTGCCTTCGAGGGGGGGCATGATTTGTTGCCCGCTCTGGGTGTCACGGAATACCTCCCCCGCCCTCGTGCCTTCGAGGGGGGGCATGATTTGTTGCCCGCTTTGGGTGTCACGGAATACCTCCCCCGCCCTCGTGCCTTCGAGGGGGGGCATGATTTGTTGCCCGCTCTGGGTGTCACGGAATACCCCCGGGGTCCGGGTAGCAGTAGGCACCAAATAGCACGCTCAACAATCCCATGTAGTGGGATAGCAGTCGCGCGGCGTTTGGTTACCATTTGCCCCCCCGACCGGTGGGCATTTGGCTCAAGATGAGCTCATACCTCAACCGTTCAACTGTACAGCACACGTGGAGAGGGCACTGACACAACAGTCCGTTGCAGGTGGAAAAAATCCTCTTCCTCTTCCCATCCCCTCAGCGTCAATGTCATAGCCTGTCCCAGCATCCCGCCCCTCAAAGCGGAGCGACACGCTTTCCGCTCGCAGGGCAAAGCGTCTCGGTGGGGCCGCCGCCGCGACGCGCTGTGCAAAAGTTCCTGACCGCATGCCGTGAAGGGCAGGTGTTTGTTTCAAGAAGCGTGTGTCCAAAAAGCGCGAGATGGTATGGTCCCGTTCTCTCGCGAGAGGGTTGCAATCACGGCGCCGTTGCACATCTTACATGCTCTCACGAACAGGTTTGAGATTGGTCGCGTGACATCGGAACCCTCATCCGACAAAACAATGTTGGAGATCTTAGACGTTTCGCGTAACCAACTAACCTATCCAAAAACGATGCCCAGGTCAGATGCCCCGGTCAGGGATGTGAAGGAGCACGTCGTGGAATAAGGGGTCGGGGACGCCGTCATACCCCAAGAAGGGGAGGATGGAGGAGGAAGCGGAGGAGGAGGAGGAGGAGGAGAAGGAGGAGGAGAAGGGCTGGTGGGAGTCAGGTGGCGACGCCACGATGGTGGCAGAGTATACGTAGCCGCCTTTTGCCTTTATTGCCCGTCTCGGCGTGCCGTCGCCCGCTCGAGGAAGCGGTGGGTGAGATGTCGCGATGGCGCCGCGACGGCAACACGGTGCGGCGGCGTGGCGGCGAGACCACGGCTTGTCACCGCGGCGACAATCCGATGCAGCCGCGCTGCAAAGCAGACGTGGGGTGCACGTGGCCGAGCTGGGCTTGGTGGGCGGCGGGCAGAGAGGGGGCGCGAAGGAGGATGGGAAAGGCGCTCCGAGCACGTGGTCCCTGTGCGCGGGTGCCGGAGGGCCCGCACAGTGGGGAAGCGGAAGTCCCTGCAGGAGCGAGGCCCGTGCGGGAAGGAGGCCACGGCCCGGGGGCGTTGCCGGGTGGCGGTGGGACCAGGGTGGTGCGGGGACGGCGCGTCGCAAGGCCTGGGGGGCTCCCTCCAAGCAGCTGCTCCCAAGACGACGGGGCGAGGCAATCGTGCCCTCCTCCTCCTCCTCCTCCTCCTCCTCCTCCCTCCTCCTCCTCCTCTCCTCCTCCCCTCCTCCTCCTCCTCCTTCCACCTCCACTTCCCCTCTCCTCCTCCTCCTCCTCCCCCCCCTCCTCATCCTCCCCCTCCTCCTCCTCCTCCTCCTCCTCCTCCTCCTCCTCCTCCTCCCCCTCCTCCTCCACGAAGTGGGTGTCCGAGTGCGTCGTAGGGGGGGGGAAGAAGTTGCAGGGGCGAGGAGCGGCGGAGGGCCGGTCGAGACAGCGGCGGCCCGCCCTGGCGTGCCTCGTCCTCCTTTGGGGCATTCTGCGGGAGGCTCCTCGGCGCCGCCGCCGGGCTCCCGCCCCGAGCACCGGGTCTGCACAGACCCCCCTCGAGGGATCTTCGGGGGCAGCGATAGGCTTGGCATCGCTCGGACGTGTGCATTATTTCCTTCGGCGAGGATCGAGGAGCATCCTTGATCATTTGGCGAAGAAACCACGCACGAAACCGAAAAAAACACGGGGAATGGACGTCCGAGCGATGGCCAGTAGGAGGGGATAGGCCTAGGGGGGGGGTGCATCGACCCCCAACCTGCCCACTGATCGCCGACAGGGGCCCGATGGCCCCAACCTGCCCAGGAGGGTGCGGATTCGGAGGCCCATCGCCGATCTATCGGCGCTGTATCGCCGATTCCGGGTCGATGTTTCCCCCCCTGTGCCAGTCCCCCCCGCATCGTTGCCCCTCAGATCTGGGGAGTCATTTTTTGAGCGGCGTTGGGCCAGTCGGGAGAGCCGCCGTTATCTCACCCAGCCCTCCTCCGAGAGGAGGGCGAGGTCGATCCGCAGTCGTCTTGGCGCAAGCGGCTCGCGAGCCCTGGCAGTCCGTCCGCCAGCTCTCGGCTGCAAGGTGGTCGCCGCGGGCGATCTCCACACGGTGCTGCTCAGTTGCGACGGGGCCGCCGTGGCGAGCGGTTGGAATATGCTCTGGGCAGTGCAGCGCTCCAGCGCTGCGTCAACAGCTCACTTGCACGCAGGTCGGCGCTGGTCGTTTCCACGCCGTCTTGCTAGAGAAGCGACGGGGCCGCCGCGGCCTGTGGCGCGAACGGAGATGGGCAGGGAGGCCTTCCGACGCTGCCCGAGGGCCTCACTTACACGCAGGTCTCCGCGGGTCGCAGCCACACCGTCCTGCTCAGAAGCGACGGGGCCGCCGTGGCGTGTGGTGAGAATGGAGATAGGCAGTGCAACCTTCCGACGCTCCCTGGGGCCCTCACTTACACGCAGGTCGCCGCGGGTCGCAGCCACACGGTCCTGCTCAGAAGCGACGGGGCCGTCGTGGCTTGCGGTGCGCATGTGGATGGGCAGAGCACCCTTCCGCTGCATCCAGACTTCAGGCTCGTCGCCGCAGGTGCTGACCACACGGTCCTGCTCAGGAGCGACGGGTCGGCCGAGGGCTAGGGCGCGAACGACACTGGGCAGTGCAGCTTCCCACTTCTCAGCGGCTCCCTCCCTTACTCCCGGGCCGCTGCGGGTCGCTGCCACACGGTGCTGCTCAGGAGCGACGGGACGACCGTGCCCGCTGGCGGGAATCTGCTCCGGCAGTGCGACATACCGGCGCTGCCCGAGGACCTCACCTGCGAGCAGGCCGCCGCGGGCCTGTCGCACACGGTCCTGCTCCGGAGCGACGGAGCGGCTGTAGCCTGGGGGGTCGCGTGGTGGCGGGGCGATAAGTGGGGCGAGGTGCAGCGAGGACTGCAGGAAAGGGGCCCTCCCTGCCTTCAGGGCCCCTCCGGGAGCCCTCGAGGGTCCAAAAGGGAGCCTCCACCTTCCTCCCCCCCCATTCATCGCCCCCCCCCTTACGCGACGCCCAATAGCCTGCGGCTTCAACGGAGAAGGGAAGCGCAGCCTTCCTTCCGCTTCACACCACTGGACAGACTGGATGCGGCCACGGCGCCCCTCACGCCTCCGATTCGTGGCGTGCTTCTCGCCAGTGCCTAGCAGCGTGCTGCCAACGGTCCACGTCAGCGTTTGACGGAGCAGTTGTGCAGCTCGTGACCCTGGGCGGGGAGGAGTTCGACCGAATCCGCTCGGCACCCGCCGATACGACCCTGTGCCGCTCCAGTGCCGCCCCGGATCCTGACCCTGGACATCGTCCCCACAGGCTTCTTGAGGCTGGTGCTTCCCTCTTGCACACGCGTGGCGGCCTCAGGGTGGAAAAGCATGTGGCGCCAAGAGCAGTCTCGCCTGTGGGCTCGTTCAGTCCGTTTGGGCCGCTGGTGGCAGCGGTGCTCGGCGGTTCAAGCATGGGGCCCGAGGGACGGGGCCCTAACGCCGAGGGGCCTCAAGCAATGCAGATTCAACCTGGGATCCCTTCGTGCAGTGCCTCAGGTCCCCACCTTTGAGCCGCCGAAGTGCGCGAGCGATCTGCAGTCGAGGTGCAGTGGCCTCCTCGAGGCCTCGGCGCTGCAGGTGCTGCTTGGGTTGCCCGACGTCGCCTCTCGTGGCATCCCCGGGTTGGTCCTCACATCCCACATCTCAAATATCGCACAGCGTAGCCTGCACATCCACGGTGCTGAATTCCGCTGTTTGGGGCCAGCGCTGGCAATCATGTGTACATATATATATATATATATATATATACAAGACTGCAGTGGCGCTTCGCGCCATGTACCTTGGTCCTTGAAGTTTGGAATGCAGGCGGAATGGCAGGAAGGTCAAGCCGACAATTTAGCGATAACTCCTGGTTGCCTTTTCCGGCATCGCCGCTATAATGATGTTTTTCGTTATCCTTTCTCCATGCTTATTGGTTTTATTTTCGCCATACCCTGCGCATTTTCCCCATCCTCCTCAGCTCTTTTTTGCGGAGGCTCCTCCTTGGAGAGCCTCCAGGGGCCTCACAAAAGTCGTTTCGGGCTTTCTTAAGGTCTTCTGGAGGCCTCCTGGGCGTATTCTGGGGGCCTCCGGGGGCTCCCTCGGGCCACCCTGCCTCCAACCGCCGTCTCCCTGAACGACCGAATCACGGTTTGGAATTCTTCGGAGGGTGTCTTTGGGCCATATTGGGCCGCCATGGGGCTCTCTGAGGGCCATCTTGGACCCGTGTTGTGCCGTTTTGGGGCTCTCTTGGATTGCTTGGAAGCCCTTTCGGATGGTTGTGGGGCGATTTGGGAGCCTCCCAGGCGGCTTCGGACGCCCGGAAGACCGCCGTCCTGGAGCGTGGGGAAGCCGAAAAGAGGAGAACCCCAAGATTCACCAAAAACCATCAGAAAATCAATGATTTTTGCCTCGGGGGGCCTTCTTGGGAGTGCTCCTCTAGGCCTCTTTGGGGCCGTCCTGGAAGCCTCTGGGGCCATCTTGAGGTCACGTCGGTCACTTTTGGAGCGCTCTTGTGCTGTGTTGGGGGTCTCTGGGACGTCTCCGATGACCCCCTGATCGCCCTAAGTGTGCTGGGAAGGCTTGGCAAAACGCCTTGCGAGGCCCAGTGGCCGCTTCGAGGCCCGTCCGGAGGGCCCCAAAGCCCCAGGTCCCGGGAGTCCGGTTTTTGGGGGGGGTGATGGGTTTTCCCCCCGCCCGGGCTTGTAGAAATATAGGAAGAGGAATGTTTGTGTGTCTATATTGAGAAGGCCTTACGGCTGGTGCCGCCGACCCTGAAGACGACGAAGATGAAAACGAGGGTGAGGAGGAAAAGGAGGAGGAGGAGGAGGAGGAGGAGGAGGAGGTGGAGGAGGAGCAAGAGGAGGGGAGCAAGGGGGGAGGGGAGGAGGAGGATGAGGAGGAGGAGGAGGAGGAGGGGGAGGAGGAGGAGGATTACATATATATATATATATATATATACATATATCTATGTATAGAGAGAGATGTGCGTGTGTGTCTATATTTGTCCACGTACGTACACACACACACACAGATGGCATACCGGAAACCCCGCCCGCGGCGCCCGGGGCCGCAGCCCTCCAGGGGTACCCAAAGGGCCCTTTGAAGGCGCCCCCCCCCCAGGGTATTCAAAGGGACCTTTCAAGGGTATTCAAAGGGTCCTCAATGGGTCCTTTCAAGGCGCCCCCCCCCCAGGGTATTCAAAGGGTCCTTTCAAGGGTACTCAAAGGAACCTTTCAAGGGTCCTCAAAGGGTCCTCAAAGGGTCCTTTCCAGGGATACTCAAAGGGTACTCAAGGGGTCCTTTCAAGTGTACTCAAAGGGTCCTTTCAAAGGGTACTCAAAGGGCCCCAAGGCGGTCCCATTCGGCCCCCTCCGCAGCCCAGGGCGCCCCATATGGCGCGAAGTTGTTCGCGCTTCGCGGTTCGGCTCCGATTCCCCTTCATCCTCCTCTTCTCCCCTGGGGGCCGGCGCGAGAGCGCGAAGCTATTCGCGCTTCGCGCAGCGCGAAGCGCGATGTTAGGCGCCTTTGGTAGCCATGTTGGCTCAAGCTCAGCGGCAAAAGAGTGGCTGGCGCACGTCAGCTATGCAGGCATGCGAGCTGCGAGGGCGGTGGCCGCTTGGTTTGGGAACTTGGCCGCCTCGGCGCCCCTCGTGCTTCCCCGCGCTGAAGCAGTTTGCGTGAAAGACACCGGCGGCGAGTGTATGTTTTTTAGCTGCTATGCCACGAGAGGCCCGACTTCGTGTGTCCACGGCAAGTGTATTTGCCAGGACAGCTTCTGCTCCGTCGGAGGGGCGTGCGTGCTGACACCGGCACCAACACCGGCACCCGTACCGGTGCCAATATCAGCGCCGGCAGGAGTACCAGGATCAACATTCACAGACTCACCAACAGACGCTCCAGCTCTAGTGCCCACCCCCGCATCAGCAGAATCACCAAGATCAGTACCACCAGCTTGTGTGAAAGACACGGGAGGAAGCTGTGCGCTCCTGCATTGCTATAAATCGAGGGGTCCAGCTTCGTGTATTGACGGCAAGTGCATTTGCAAAGATGATTTCTGTTCCATCAGCGGGACGTGCGTGCCAACATCGGCACCAGGAGCATCAACAGAAGTTGCACCAACACAAACACCAGGACCAGTATCACCAGCTTGCGTGAAAGACACGGGTGGTAGTTGCCGTTGGTTCAAATGCTATGCATCGAGGGGTCCGACATCGTGCATTGACAATACGTGTATGTGTGCGGACGGCTTTTGTTCCATAGGTGGAGCTTGCTATTCGGAAAATTGCAGCGAGAAGGGTGCTTGTTCAGGTTCAGTGTCGCCGCCAGATTATTGCAGCGCCGATACTGGAGCCACATGCAATGTCATGGATTGCCACCCCTATCGTGGCAACACTTCGTGCATCGACAATAGGTGCATGTGCAAGTCTGGCTATTGCAGCGTGAAGGGGATTTGTCTGCCCAGGGCTTATGTGGGGGACGCTGTGGACATGTGGAATCTGTTCGAGCTCATCCACGAATGGAGGTACACGCTGTGCGCCCTGCTGCTTGCTGGCATGGCCATCAGCTACATCCTCATCCCCGGGGCGCTGCTCTGCCTCCTCTGCCAGCGCCTCCGCGGCGAGCCAGCGCCGCGCGCAGACGCTCAGGGTCGGCGCTCCCGCGGCCTGGAGCAGCCGCTCCTTCCGTCCAATTGACGCTGGACTGTGAGCCCGGTGCAGCTCGACTCCTCGGGATTAGGGAAACGAAAAATCGCATAAACATAGAAACTCGGAGGTCCGCGCGGATTTCTCGGATCCGCGATGGAGCCCCCTGGCGGCGCCTCCGGCGCCGCCCTTGGCGCACTCCGCGCGCCAGGGAGGGGGGTCCAGCGCGGATCCAAGAAATCCGCGCGGACCTCCGAGTTCTCATGTGTGTGTCATTATTTGTTGTTCCCCTCGGGATGGCGCGGCGCAGCTGAGTATCTCCGCCTCGCGAGACCCTCTCTCTCCCCCCGCCCCCCTCTTCCAGCGCCTGCGCGCCTCGGGGTGGCCCCCCCGCGCCTCTCTGCAGGCTGGGCGGCGCCTGGTGCTGCCGCGCGACCCGTGGAGGCGGGCCCCGGCGCCAGTGGAGAGCCCGAGGCCGCGGCGGACAACGAAAAGAGAACGGTCCCGTCAGGCCCCCCGTAGGGGGAACAAAAAGTGGCATAAGCATAAAACTCGGAGGTCCGCGCGGATTTCTCGGATCGGCGCTGGACCCCCCTCCCTGGCGCGCGGAGGCGCCGCCGGGGGGGCCCCAGCGCCGATCCGAGAGATCCGCGCGGAACTCCGAGTTTTTATGTTTATGTCACTTTTTGTTCCCCTACCCCGGGCTCCCCTGGGCTCCAAGCGTCACAAAAGGCCCCAAGGTGACCCCGAGAGGCGGCCGGAGTGCCCACGGAGGACCTCCGAGGGGCCAAGCGAAGAAAAAAAAGGGGCCCTGGGTGATTTCATGGGGCTTTCACTTGTTAACGGGATGTGGCTCCAAAGTTGCCCCGGAGCCTCAAAAGGTCCCCAACAAAATAATGTTGCTCCAGGATGGCCCAGGACCGCCCCGCGAGAGCTCTGCGAGAGCCGACGACGGCGTCAGGAGGAGCCCAAGATGGCCCAAGAAATCCCCAAGACGGTCCCAAAAGGCTCCCGAGTTTCCTCAGAAGGCTCCCAGCGAGAAAAAACGGCCCCACGAGGTGGCCAGAGTGCCCACGGAGGACCTTCGAGGGGCCGCATCAGTCGAAAGTCGAAGGAATTTCGAAGGGAGTTCCAACTTGTTTGCGAAGTGAGGCTCCAAGGTGTGTCCGCAGACCC